CCTATCAAATATGTGTTGTCATTGGCTGATGAGCACAAGGTCCTTCGTTTTATATAGAGGGAAGGAGAAGTTTAATTGAGTCAGGAGTGGCTGGGAAGAGAGAACAGGAGGATAAAGGGACCTATAGACTCCTTTTGTGCTGTCTCCTTTTACAATAAACTGATTGAGCTACTTTCATCAGAGACTGGAAGATTTTGAGAGAGATTGCCAGGTGCGGTGGCACATACCTGTGATCCACCTTGATCCACCTGTAATCCCAGGGACTCAGGGGGCTGAGGTAGGAGGATCCCAAGTTTGAGGTCTTCTTCAGTAACTTAGTGAGACCCTAAGCAACTTAGTGAGATCCTGTCTCAAAATTAAAAAAAAAAAAAAAAGGTTGGGGGGGTGCTGGGGATGTAGTTCTGTGATTAAGTGCCCCTGGATTCACTCCATGGTACCAAAAAAAAAAAAAAAAAAAAAATTGAGAGATTAAAACCAGAAATAAGGTATGTTCAGTATGTTCAGGACAATTTGGGGCCCCTTGCTTTTGTGGGAAACCCAGCTCTGCCCTCGTGTCAGAGGACTGGCAGCTTTGCAAGAATTCTTGTCACAGACGTGGTCACAACAATAGGCACTGTCAAGCAAAGATTTCACAAATGACCCAGATGAGACTCCTCAGGCAGAAACATAGAAAGCGGGAGCTGCAGTGGGGACTGGTAGAGAAGGTGGCAGGTATTTGGTGGTAACTGCAGCTCACACATGTGAGGACCCATTTGAGGACCCTGAGAATCACTGTTTGATTGGGAAGGTGGGAAAAGTTCAACCAAAATCAGTGTAGTTTGGGCATGCCCATAAATGGATCCAATTTTGTATTTACTGACTGATAACAAAGGCCAAAGGTTAATGCTACATGAAAGATGACATTGAATTTTAGAATTTCAGGTGTTCACTCTTATATGATCTTCCTTTGATTATGTAAGATTCATTTCCTCTAAAATTCAATGATATCCTTAACATAATGGGATTTGTGAAACTACTTCCTGATTGGAAGCTTGTCTTTAAATTAAATCATCAATTAATTTACTTTGCAATGCTGGGTGATGAACCCAAGGCTTCATGTATGTTAGGCAGGTGCTCTACCTCTGAGCTATATCTTCAGCTCATATTTTCTCATTTCAAAACATTTGAAGAAAAAAAACTTTACTATTGTTGTAGTTTGAGCATTTCATTATACTTTGGATAAGTCCCTGTGACTTCTGCTACTTGCCAAGATAGATTAACAAAAAACAGATTTACCCTCTTTCCTCCCAAAACAAGAAAAATAGAAATCTATGAGACAGGCAACAATTGACAGCAATTTTTGAGAGACAGAAATGAGTGGCCTCTTGATTACTCCAGCTTATTGTCTTCATAGAGCTTTCAGGCCACAACATAGGGAAGGAGAACCCAGGCAGTTCCCACAGACTGTCTTTGTGGAGGAGACAGAGCTGAGAATCCAGGAGAATCAAGATGGCTGGAATTTGGAGGACGCAGTACCAGAGAGGAGAGAGCTGACCAGAAAGAGAATTCAGCAAAGTGCTCAGCAGACTGGCTGATGCATATGAGGAAATGAAGCCTAGGAAAGAACACCCCAGCCCCCAAAGGATTGGAAGAAACAGGACTTGATACAAACAGGCTCCAGAATAATGCTTCTTCCCATGAGTACAGTACTCTGGAAGGTCTTGCCCCAGTAAGGAAGAAGAATAAGCCCTAGAGAGAGGATATGCTAAGGACCCACCTAACAAATCAAAGAAGCAAAATCTAAAAGCATCAAATTACTTCCAAGTAACTTAACTGCTACCTAAACAAGGTTCAAAAATATTTATAGGAATAAGACAATATGTATCTGTCAAAATGCATATGAATATATGCTCATCCTCACTGATTATTAAAGAACTGCAAATCAAAAACCACAAGATAGCTGGGCACGGTGGCCCACACCTTTAATTCCAGTAGCTCGGGAGGCTGAGTAAGGAGGATGGCAAGCTCAAAGCCAGTCTCTGTAAATTAGTGAGGCCCTAAGCAACTCAGTGGGACCCTGTCTTTAAATAAAAATACAAAAAAGGACTGGGGATGTGGTTCAGTGCTCCTGAGTTCAATCCCTGGTACAAAAAAAACAGACAAAAACCCCACAAGATATCACCTCATGCCCATTAAGATGGCTACTTTTTTAAAAAGTGGAAAAAAAAAAAACCCAGAAAAATAACAAGTGTTGATAATGGATGCAGAGAAATAGAATGCCTGTGCACTATTGGAGGTCATGTAAAATGCTGCAGCCTTTGTGGCAAACAGAAGGGAGGTTCCTCGACAATAAAAATACTCTATCATATTATCCAGAAATCCTATTTCTGGGTATCTTTCCAAAAGATCTGAAAGCAGGATGTCAAAGAGGTATCTGCCCACCCACCCATTATTCATAATAGCCAAAGAGGGAACTCAAATATCTATCAATGGATGAACAGATAAACAAAATGGGACAAACGTCTATAATGGAATATTAGGAATATTATTCAACCTTAACAAAGAAGGAAATCCTGTCACACGTCACAAGGATGAACTCTGAGGACATTATGCTTAGTGAAATAAGCCAATCACAAAAAGATACTTACATACATTATCTGAGGTGGGTAAACTTAGAGAAACAAAAAGAAGATTGTAGTTTCTTGGAACTCTGAAGAGAGGGAAATGGAGAATTGCTATTCAGTGGATAGAGTTCCAGTATTGCAAGGTGAAAAAATTCTAGAGATCTGTTGCACAACCACATGAATACCCTCAACATGATTAAATTATGTAATGAAAAACAATTACAATGTTAAATTTTATGTTGCCTGGGTTTCTTTTTAGCACAATTAAACATGATTTTAAAAATTCACTCCACATCAAAATACAATTCACAATGTTTGATGTCCAGTGAACGATTAGCAGGCACACAGAGGTAAGAAAATGAGGAGAGGAATCAATCCATCCCATCGTAACTGACCCAGAACTGACCCAGTTGTTGGAATTAGAAGACAAGGACACTAAAACAGTTATTAGAATTGCATTCTGAGTGTTCAAACAACCACATTGAGAACTGCCATGTGACAGGAATGGTGGGCAGGCCCGCGGCTGACAGTCAAAAATAAACAGGGACCTCAGTCACGTGACCTCAGGAAAATGAATTCAGCCAACAACCGGAAGGACCTTTGTAGCAGATATGTTCCCTAATTGAATTTGTTTGGATGCAGCCAGCTGACAACCTTGAGTTCAGCCTTGGGAGACCCTGAGCAGAGGCCCCGGCTCCACTATGCCAGATTTCTGTCTCATGAAAACTGTGACATAATAAAAGTTTTTTGTCTTAATACATTCAGTTTGTGGAGATTGGTCATGCAGGAAAAGCAAAGGAATACAACTGGAGAGGATTCATTGCAGACTAGACACTGCAGAAGAAATGATTCGTGAGCCAGAGAAGAGAAATAGAACCAGCAAAATGGAACACACAGAGAAAAAGAATGTTAAAAAATAAAAAAAGATCTTCAGTGAGCTGTGGGATAACTTCAAGATGTGGCCCGATGTATAATGAGAATTCCTGGGAAAGGGAAGGGGTGAAGAAAACTATCAGAAGAAAAAATGGCTATAAAATTTCCAAATTTGATGACAAGTATAAATCTACAGATCCAAGAAGCTCAATGGAGCCCAAGGACAAGTCACGTGAAGAAAACTATGTCAATCCATAAAATCCACGACAGTAGACTTTTGGCTAAAAATAATACAAGTGATAAGGTAGTGAAGCAACACATTTAAAGTACTGAAAAGAAGATCGCCAACCCAGAAGTATTTACATAGCAAAGATACTGTTCGCAACTGAAGGTGAAATAAAGAACATTTCAGACAAAAGCTGAAGTAATTCATCACCAATAAATAGGCACTACAAAAAATGTTATAGGAAAAAAATCTCAGGCAGAAGGAAAACCATAGCAGAAGGAAATTATGGATATGCTTAAAGGAATGAAGAGCTTCAGAAATGATAATTACACATAAATGATTCTTCTCATAAATCTCTTTTTTAAAACAAATTTTTAATTTGAAAACAGTTTTAAACTTAGAGAAAAGAATCAATGTTAGTACAAAGGGTTGCTGTAAACCCCTCCCCAGTTTTCTCTACTTAAAACAGTCTTACATGACTGTGGTACATTTTGCCACAATTAAGGGACTAACATTGATACACTATTACTTCCATTTCTCTTTCAGTCAGATGTCTGTTAAAAAGACAGATAGTTATAGGATCAGAATTTGGGTGGATTAACTGTGTACATATTGGAGAAAGAAAACTCACTTAAAATTCAAACAATTCAGAAGGAAACTATCCAAACTTAACAAAAAAGAAAAAAAAAGTTTTATGGGCCCATGTCTTAGTAAATAGTAATATATATTAATAAAGTCTTTGAAAACACTGATTCTTTTCATTTTATTTCTTTCATTTTTTTTAAGTTTTTTTAAAGATGGACACAATATATTTACTTTATTTATTTTTATGTGGTGCGGAGGATCTAACCCAGGGCCTCACATGTGTGAGGCAAGCGCTCTACCACTGAGCTATAACCCCAATCTTATAACTAGAAGAATATAAGTTTCATTAATTATAATAATGCTACTACGAATAATAACTAACCTAACCTTCATGGTGATGGATTTTATTTAATTGATTAAATAAATGATAGAACCGGAATGTGAACCTAGGCCTCCCACATAGCAAAGTCCTCATGATTGACCATTATGTTCAACTTTAGGCAAGTGATTCAATCAATTCTAATCAACTTGGCAACGGTCCGTGGTCAAAAACTGACCCCCACAGGCTCCTAACTTATCATGTCTATTGGAAATACCATAGGGCAAGACAGAGGAAAAACAAAGCTGCCTGCCTCCTGATAACATTTCTGTGGCCCTCAGAGGAAGGATTAAAATAGGGCAGCTCTGCTAGTCTTTGGCTGTTGGAAGCTTACGCTGTGAGTCATGCTCTTGCAACTCTGCCTCCGAGGACACTGACTACTTAAACTTTACCCAGAGACTCCCCATAGGAGGCAAGGTGGGTTTGCTCTGTCACGGTCATATGCAGTGTGTGTGTTTTCTACTTCATGCTGTTCAGGGTTCTATGAAAGCACCTTGGGATCAATCCAGGCTTGTGGATGAGGCCAAGTGGCCAACACTGGGTTCCTACTTGGCTGTATCCAGAGATGCCTCATTTTGAGGTTTTATGAAAAATGTCACTTAAAAGGTTTCAGTGCTGAAAGAAGTTTAAAAACCATCAGCCTCGTAGGAGACACCGTGTAGTGTGAAGACTGTGGCTTTGGAGCTTGACAACTTGGGTTCAACCAGGTTGTGCTACTTATATACTGCATGCCTTGGGCACATTAACTCTTCTGAGCCTCAAATATAGCCTGGCCCTGGATGGGCATCAGAAAATGGTAGTGATGAGCTGGAGGAGGATCAGGTTAAAATTCAGAAAGAGAAGGCGAAATGCTTGTGGTTCGTGAGCTGAATAGGACTTGGGGTCTGGCTTCCTCTGGGTTTGAAATAAACAGAGAGGGGCTTACTTGTTATACAAGGTAAGTCTTCTAAAATCGTAAAACCTCATGTGCCCTAGCAAAAAGTCTGTTCCTCTCTCATATAAGTGTGAAAACTAAGGTCTAGGGAAGTTATGCCTTGTATCAAATTTAAACTGGAAACCTGTATCCTATGAGCCACGATACTTCTATATCTCTGTAGGGTTTTCTTTTCTTTCTTCTGGGAATTTTTAAACTTTCTTATGCAAATAAATAAAGTAGTTTCCTATGTTTGAGTCAGAGTATGTGGGAGGTAGTGCACAGGAGGCCTGGTGTAAGCTTAGGGAAATAGTCCAGTTCTGGAATAAAAGTGAAAGGAAACCTAAAATCCTGGGAGGAGGGGAGAGAGAGAGGGCGGAAGGTGGGGTAGGGGAGGGAGCTGATTAAAAGATGAAAATCAATATTATAATGCAATTTTAGAACTCATCACAATAATAATTTAGTATGAACCTGTTATATAAAAAAAGTTCTCACATAGTTTTCAGGCCACTTCAAGTTATGCAACACATATTTAATCTAAAAATAAAAATAGTTCTTCCCCTTTCTTTCTTTCCCTGCAATGACACAGTGAAAATTCTCCAGCCTCCGCTGACCCTGACCCTTGTTACATTGTCACATTATGCTCATATCACATAAATACACGCAAGTCCTGGAAAACAGGAGTCTGGAATTCAATAGCAGGTGCTCTGAAGTCTTTAATTACGAAAAGTGGCCTGCCTTTGCTCAAAGCCTCCTCCTGAGAATCCCAGAGTTCATAAAGACCATCTTCTGACGTTGTCATGCTAGTTTTAGTCCCTTCCCAGTGGGGGGGGGGGAGAAAAAGCAAATGTGCCTATTTGAAACCACCACAGAGGAAAGACAGGGTCATTCACACCTTCATGAGACGCACTAGGTAGTCCAGCACCGAAGACCCATCAGAAAGGGAAAGAGTGTCAAAATGTGTCCTGTGGAATCCAAGTCATTGCAAACACACAACAAAAGGACAAACTACTGTAGGCATTAAGATAAATAAATAAAAGTGAGAACCCTGCAAGTTAAAAGAAAGTCTCCTCCTTGGAGAAGGTTAAAGGGCTTTTCAATCCCCCACCAGCCAAGCAAAATAAAGCAAAAATACTCCTGTTACCTGCTCTTATTTCTTAGGATGTTTTCTTGATAGCATTTTACCCCCCCTCCCATCAGAATGAAGAAGGCTGTTAGTACTTTGGATCAAAATTAGGCAATGTGATGTTTTGAGAAAACTCCTTGATGGCAGGAAACCCTGTTAGCATTTTGATAGAGTGAGTCAGTCAGCAATCGAGGCATTCAGTGAAATGATAACATGACACTCTAGAACTTGATGGAAATCCAGGGCTTCTCTGTAAGAATGACCTGTTTTTCCCAAGAAGTGCAAACTAAAAAATAACAAAAAACCCCAATGAGTTGGCACTTTCTGCCTGTAAAATTGAGAAACAAATTAAAGAAATAGAGTGATAATATCTGGAGGTGGTGACAACATGAAAAACAAACACTTTTCCAAACTGACTGTTGGAAATACACATTAAATACGAATGCTTTGCAGGGAAATCTGGTGATAATGTATCAAAAACTTTCATTACATTTTTGGCTTTAGGAGCAAGTTTAATAAATGTGCCCAACATTATGAATAAGGATTTTTATCACAGCATTACTTAAGATGCAAGAAGATTTTAAGCAGTCTAAATATATGGGAGTAAATACTGAAAAAAATCTGTAAATATATGCAAATAAGGGAATGCTTACTAGTCATTGAAAATGATATTGTAAAGTACTCTTTTTGATATGTGTCTAACTCAGGATTTTCTCGGGTACATGTGATAGGATTCTCATTTAAACTACTTTAAATGGAAAGATGATTGATTAAAAGGAAGAGTTGAACAACCAAGCTTAGGAAGGCAGGATGCCAGATAGTTTGAGCGACAGGGACACTCTAGAAACAGGGATGCAGACAACTCTTCTTTTTTCTCTGCTTCTACTCCATTTCCAAACTCACATTCTAACCAGGAGGAAAGGCTTTCTCATTCTAAACTTCAGTGTGAAAAATTCTAAGACTTGATTGGTCTGACTTGTATCATATGCCTACACCTTGGACCAATCATTGGTAACTGTGAGCTATAATGATTAGCCAATCTTGTATTGGATATGGTTGCAGACTGAATATTTTTTCTCCTAAAATTCATATGCTGAAATCCTAATCCCCAATGTGACACAATAAGGAGATAGGGTTGCTAGAAGGTAATGAAGGCATCTACAATTCATAAAAAGCTCTCACGAGAATCCAACCATGCCCGGTACCTCGCCTCAAGAACAGTGAGAAATAAATTTCTGTTGTTCATAAACCACCCAGTCTATGGTATTTTGTTATGGCAGTCTTAACAAATATTAGGCTGCTAAACAGAGTACTTAGAACAAAGGACCAACTACCCTTTTATCAACTGCTGTGTTCTAGCGGGTCACATGGTCAGGTCCATTATGGAAATTGCTGGGACCCAGGAAGTCAATCTGTGTCTGCCACAACTTTAGTTGACAATAGCATTTGTCAACTTTCCACAATAGTTTGACTCAGTCTTCTTGTGAGGTTAAAGAACAACTCCGTTTTCCTTTAGAGCAAGCAAAGGAATTCCTTTATGACCATGTGGTTAGGAAGTGATCTATGATAAAATGGGTTGGGATTATACTTTTGGAGCTGTACATGACCGTTAGCAGCCATGCTGTTTGTGTGGGGCCAGGCAGAATGAGCTGTTACTCCTGACAAAAGATAATATCCTCCACAAAACCTAGGTGGTAAGAACTGGCTAGAGGAAACACTTATCTATCAGATTAAAATCTAACAGAGCATTTTGAATATATACTGAATTCAAACTAACCAGAAAGTGGACTATATTGTGCTATCATTAGAGACACCCTATTTGAACCATGTGTTTTAGAAAGAGAAAATACAACATAACTCTCTAAAATCCACATTTTCAAGACAATAGAGACAGATGACTATGACAAATGATGGTCATTTTAAACATATTACCACAATAATACAATGCCCTAATTCAGTTACAGAATAGCTGACAATGTTGCAGGAAGTCTTTTGAATTGCACAATAATGCTCTTTTTTTGTAGATTTTCTTTATTATCGACATGGGCATCTGTAGACTCTACTGGTATTGGGGATTTAGGAAGTTGGTAGAAAGTGGATTTAAATGAACTCAGATTTCATTTAGGAAGAAAGTAATAGGTATGTAGGGACTGCTAGTTAGAACCCGGTTAAAAATCAATTAGAAACACTTTAAGTCACTCTATCCTGCTGATCCATAGGTAGACTTCCACAGCTCACCTAATTTACTAATGCAACCTAACTCTCCTTTATGAAACCCCCCTCCTTTATTGGATACCATTTCCCATATTGTTCAGTGAAGAGAAGTATTTATCTCTCCAGAAATTTTCTTCCAAATACAAATTCTGGTGAACACCTAAATGAACACAGGGCAGATGGTGAGAAACAGAACATTGCACTAGTGTGGGTACTCAGGGCCACTCTCCTGGGGATGTGTGGTTTACAGAGCTGAGAGGAAATAAAAAGGCCACACAAAGCCTGTGGCTCTGTGGCTGCTGATTATATAACCTAGGCAACTTGGAATTCTTGCATCTGAATTTTTCACATCAACTTTTGCAGCCCCAAAAGTTGCCCTTGAACTCATGCAATTTAATGGAAAGGGAACACCTCAGACCCTTCTAGAATCTTGAGTGGAGACAGAAATAGAAGGAATTTGCCAACTAATTTTGTGAGAATAACTTGATAAAAAACAAAATCAAGAGCTGGGGAGATAGCTCAGTGGTAAAGCATCTTCCTAGCATTCATGAGGCCCTAAGTTCAATCCCCATCACCACATAAAAAATAAACAACAATAAAAAAGATGATATTTAAAACAAAACAAAACCAAAAAACTCTGGCATGAGTAGTTCTTTATTCTTTTATATGTTCTCATCAAATTCATTCATTGAATAAAAAAATCATACAAACCAAGTCACTTATCAATATAGTAATATTTGGAAGCCAGTTCATGTGAATTTTAGTTCCTACATTTTATACATTGTTATTTTTAGAATTAAAAAATAACAAATATCTAGATTAAGAGCTGTTTACAATGACTCAGGATGAATATTTCATATAAATATAAAGTCTTGGCATAAAGACTCCATTTAAAGGCTGGGGCTATGGCTCGGTGGCCGAGGGCTTGCCTCATACATATGAGGCACTGGGTTTGATCCTCAGCACCACATAAAAATAAAAATAAACAAAATAAAGATATTGTGTCCATGTATAACTAAAAAAATATTTTAAAAAGAGACTGCATTTTCCAGAAAGGAAATTATTTCATAGCAACTTGTCACTAACAGGTGTTTGAAATTAGAGTTTTCAGTTTTTTATATGAAGGTTGTAACGCACACTAACCAAGTTCAAAGGAATGATAAC